TTCATTCTATCTCATTGTTCTATCACACTGCTTATCTTTACAACTGGTTTTCGATTTATTTTCCTCTATCACTTCTTTTTTTTCACATCCTATCTATCTATCTATCTCAGTCTATTCATTTCTCTATCTTTCATCTATTTATCTATCTCTCTTTTCTATCTATCATTACGTCTTCTTCATCTTCATCTTTTTTCTATGCTTTTTGTTTTTATCTTTCTTCTTCTTTTTTTTCCATTCCTTCTCATTGTTCTTGCCTTACTTTATTTTACCTTTCTCATTTTTTGCCGCCTTCTTTCTTTCCTCTCTTTTTTTTATTCGGATTATGATTTCTTCTTCTTCTTCTCCTCATTTTCGTTCTTCGATTTCTTCTTCTTCTTCTTCTCGACTTCATTATTTTTCTTTTATTTTCTCCTTTCGTCTGTTTTTCTTTTTTCTTTTCAATTTTCTCATCTTTTTTTTTTTTTTTTTTTTTTTTTTGCAACGTTTTTTTCTTCTTGCCTTCATTCTTTTTTTAAATTATTCCTGTCAGGTTTTGGTTCTTCTTCCGCTGCAACTGCTTCTCATTTTTCGCCTTTTCTTCCTTCATTTTCTCGCCTTTCTTTCTGTTGTTGCCTTTTATCTTTCTCTTTCTATTCTCCGTTTTCTCCCTCTACGACATACTTTTCTTTCTCTTCTTCTCTAAATTGTTCTTCTCCACTTTTTTCTTTTTCTCGCTTTTCTTATTTTCCTTTTCTTCCCATTTTTCTCACTTTTCGTTTTCTTCTTCTTTTCTTTTGTCTTCTCAGTTTTCTTGACTTTGTTCTTTCTGTCTTTTTTCTCCTTTTCTTTTCTGTTACCTTCTTCTTCTTCTTCTTCTTCTCATCCTCCTCCTCCTTCTTCTTCTTGCATTCCTTCTTTTTCTTCTTCTTTTTCTTCTTGCATTCCTTCTTTTTCATTTCTTCTCATTTCACATACTGACATTCTTTCGTATGACAATTTTGTAAACATACAATGCCTATCTATCTATCTATCTATCTATCTATCTATCTATCTATCTATCTGTCTGTCTGTCTGTCTGTCTTTCTGTCTTTCTGTCTATTAGGCAATTGAATGACTACGTGGGAAAAACTCATTGCAACGCGTTTCTTTCACGAAAAGGACTTCATCAGACTCAAGTAATGTTATCATTGGTGAAATTATATTTGTACGAGTGGGAAGGGGATATCAACCTAAATTGCTATAATTATGCACCGGAGGGGATGCGCCGAAGAAGTAGGAGTGCGAAATGTACACAAAATCTATCTATCTATCTATATATCTATCTATCTATCTATTGCAATCTTTTCACATCTGTCTGTTTGTCTATCTATTTATCGAAATATCTTCATATCTATCTATTTATCTATCAATCGCAATCTCTTCATATATCAATCGTTATCTCTTTATATCTATATATCTACCTATCGCATTGTCTTCATATCTATCTATCTATCCATTTATCTATCACAGTCCGTTCAATATCCATCTATCGCAGTAGATCCATCTTTTTATCTATCTATATATCTATCATCCGCAGTCTATACATATCTATCTATCTATCTATCTATCTATCTATCTATCTATCTATCTATCTATCCATTCAATGTCCATCTATCAATGTTCATCTCTATCTCATCTATTCATCTATCTATCTATCTATCTATCTATCTATCTGTTGATATCTATTTATCTATCTATCTATCTCTACCAGTCTGTTGATATCTATTTATCTCAGTAGATCCATCCATCTATCTATCCATCTTCACCATCTATCTCAGTAGTCCCCTATCATCTATATTCATCTATCTATCTATCTATCTATCTCAGTCTGATATCCATCCATCTATCTATCTATCATCTCAGTCTATTGACCTATCTATCTATCTATCTATCTATCCATCTATCTCACAGTCCGTTCTATCTATCTATCTATCTATCTATCTATCACAGTCCATTCAATGTCCATCTATCTCAGTAGATTCCCCTATCTATCTATCTATCTATCTATCTATCTATCTATCTATCTATCTATCTATCTGTCTGTCTATCTATCTATCTCAGTCTGTTGATATCTATCCATCTATCTATCTTAGTCGGTTCATTTATCTATCTCATTCTTTATCTATCTGTCAGTCTATCTCAGTCTGTTTCTATCATTTTATTTCATTTTATTTTTATCTATCTATTTATCTATGTAATTATTTATTTCTTTATCTATGTATCTGTCTGACTGTTTATTCTCAGTCTGTTCTTATCTATCACAGTTTATTTATATATATTTATCTCTGTCTGTTCACCTCGGTTTGTTTCTCTCTCTCTCACTCTCTCTCTCTCTCTCTTTATCTATCTATCTATCTATCTATCTATCTATCTATCTATCTATCTATCTATCTACGTCTGTATGTGTGTCTTTCTATGTCACTACGTCTGTATGTCTGTCTCCTTTTTGTCTACTTCGTTACATTTCGCCAAATCAATCATCCTTTTGAACTGGAAACAGAAATGTCAAATTGCCCGAATCGTAAAACTGATATTCGATCCAGGCACCGAATTATTTCGCGAAATTTAGAAACCTTTAAATAACAGCGTCAACATTGAATGGTGTTTTATTTGTTTAAATTTCTTTCATCTCTTCATTGTTGCTGGCTTTTATTCGTTTATTTTTGCCTTTCTTATTGTTCCGACGGAAGTTTTTTGAAATATAAAAATAATGAAATAGCCGGAAGCTACAAACTAACACGAGAAAAAAACCCAAAAAACTCGAACGATGCCTGGTTTATATTGATTCTATTTTATTCATTTCTCTTGGAGTTGACGGTGGAAAAATAAAACATCTGTACTCCGAGTTACTCACTGCGTTATCAAGTATCTCCTTTTATATTGACAGAAAAACAATAAGGGAAGAAACTAAACAATGAGAAATGAAAAAATGGACGAAATTTGATTCTTCCATTTTAGTTCTTGTTTCATTTGCTATCCTTTTTCGCTCTTCCTCTGTCTGCCTCTAACTTTGCTATCTGTCCCTGTCTCCATCTATCTATCTATCTATCTATCTATCTATCTATCTATCTATCTATCTATCTATCTATCTATCTCATTTTGTTTGTATGTATGTATCTATCTACCTATCTGTCTATCTAAGTTTGTTTGTATCTATCTATCTATCTATCTATCTATCTATCTATCTATCTACCTACCTACCTATCTATTTATCTATCTATCTATCTATCCATATCAGTTTGTCCGTATCTATCTATCTATTTATCTATCTATCTATCTATATCAGTTTGTTCGTATGTATGTATGTATGTATCTATCTATCTAACTATCGGTCTGTCTGTGCATATTTATGTATCTATGTCAATCTGTTCATGTCTTTATATCTATCTATATCAGTTTGTTAGTATGCATATATGTATCCCACTCGGTTCATATCTATCTATTTCAGTTTGTTCGTATCTATCTATCTCAGTCTGTTCATATCTATCTATCTATCTATCTATCTATCTATCTATCTATCTATCTATCTATCTTTTCTATTTTTCTATTTATCTATTCATATCTATCTCTCTTCATATCTATCTATCTATCTATCTATCTATCTCAGTCTGTTTCTATCAATCTCTATCTATTTATGTATCTATCGTAGCTCATATCGGTCTATACCATTTTTTTCCTATCTAGCTAGCTAGCTAGCTATCGCAGTCTGTCCACATCCACTCTCTCTCTCTCTCTCTCTATATATATATATATATATATATATATATATATATATATATATATCTTAGTCTGCTCATATCTATCTATAACATTTTGTTCCTATGTATATCAGTTTGTTCGTATCTATCTCATTTTGTTTGTATGTATGTATGTATGTATCTATCTACCTATCTGTCTATCTAAGTTTGTTTGTATCTATCTATCTATCTACCTACCTACCTATCTATCTATCTATCTATCTATCTATCTATCTATCTATCTATCTATCTATCTATATCAGTTTGTCCGTATCTATCTATCTATCTATCTATCTATCTATCTATCTATCTATCTATCTCTATCAGTTTGTTCGTATGTATGTATGTATCTATCTATCTATCGGTCTCTCTGTCCATATTTATGAATCTATATCGATCTGTTCATATCTTTCTATAAATCTATATCAGTATGTTCGTATCTATGTATCTATCCCAGTCGGTTCATATCTATCTTTCTATCTGTTTATGTTTCGTATCTGTTTATCTATGTATCTATCTATCTATCTTAGTCTATCTTTATCTATGTATCTATCTATCTATCTTGTCTATCTTTATCATTTTGTTCCTATCTATCTATCTTTATATCTATCTATCTTTATATCTATCTATCTTTATATCTATCTATATCAGTTTGTTAGTATGCATATATGTATCCCACTCGGTTCATATCTATCTATTTCAATTTGTTCGTATCTATCTATCTATCTCAATCTGTTTCTATCTATCTATCTATCTATCTATCTATCTATCTATCTATCTATCTATCTATCGTAGTTCATATCGATCTATACCATTTTGTTCCTATCTATCTAGCTAGCTAGCTAGCTAGCTATCTCAGTCTATCCACATCTCTCTCTCTCTCACTCTCTCTCTCGCTCTCTCTCTCTATCTATTTATCTATCTATCTATCTTAATCTGCTCATACATATCTATATCAGTTTGTTCGTATCTATCTATCTACCTATCTATCTATCTATCTATCGTAGTTCATATCGATCTATCCCATTTTGTTCCTATCTATCTATCTATCTCAGCCAGTCCACATCTCTCTCTCTCTCTCTCTCTCTCTCTCTCTGTCTTATTCTTTCTATCTCTCTATCTAAGCAACGTCGAGATAGGCCAGTGCCTAGACGGCTGACCGCCTGGGGCTACTACGTGCTGTAAGCTTGAATGAGCGGCTGGTGTTTTGGAAAATATTTCGGAATTCTTAGACAGTCCATTTCCAATTCCAATTCCCGTTAGATTCTTGGGAAGATACTGCCTGAATGGAAATTCCTTCTTATTGTTGGTTGTTGGACGAGGGACATTTCCTCATAGTGCCGATTTCATTCTCTGTGACTTCCTAGACCAGCTGCTCGTCCCAGCATCCTCCTGACTATCGATCAAGTATCGGCGCTGACGGCCATATCACGTTGAAACACTGGTTCCCGAACGATCACCGAGGTTAAGCAACGTCGAGTCTGAGAAGTAACCGCTTCGCAAAAACTGGCTTGGATATGAGAATGGTGCCATGAATAACGACCCGGAATTGTAAATCGGAGAAACGAGTTCCAATTCAAGTCGGGTTAGTTATATACGCGAAAAAAAAAACTTTTGGGAAAGATATGATTTCGCTTCTTCTTTCCCCAGCTATGGGTTAATTAGTAAAACTTGTATCACTAAATCGTGTATTTTCTTTTTACTAATATTCACCTGATACAATGCCCAAGGGCAACTCAAGAAGAGGGTTTCTATGTGGAGTTGTATTAGTGTAAGGAAAGAGCAAGATGACAGGAAAGATAGACAGCTAATTCTAGACTTGAAAAAGTTAAGATTTAATTAGCGAATAAAACTTCAAAGAGTTGAAGTAGACTTTAGAAGAGACCAGAAACCCAGTCCTAAACAAGGAACAAGGGTTAAACCTCTACTCCTGTTCAAAAGACCGGCGAGAGTATGAACCGGACGATAGGCAAACCTATCTACTTCTATTGGGTGGGTGGGTGTTGGGAATAATGTCGAATTGCCCGAATCGTAAAACTGATATTCGATCCAGGCACCGAATTATTTCGCGAAATTTAGAAACCTTTAAATTACAGCGTCAACATTGAATGGTGTTTTATATGTTTAAATCTATCGATGTATATATCTATCTATCTTAGCCTGTTCATGTTTACAGAATAAAATTTCAGATTTCAAGCGGAGACGTCAGAAGTGCAGAGCTGAAGGAACCGGAAACCCAATCCTAAACAGGAAACAAGGCATCAACCTCTACTCCAGTTCAAAAGATCGGGGAGGAGTATAAACCCTGCGATAGAAGTTTTGTCCCCGCTCAGACGTACAGGCTTCATTCGCTCGAAGCCAACTTTAAGCACTAAATCCGGCCATTTTGTTTACTGTTGTTCACCCAATACAAGGCTCAAGGTCTAGGGTTTCTGTGTGGAGTTTTATTAGCGTAAGAAAGGGCAAGATAACAGAAAAGACAGGGGGTTAATTCTAGATTTGAATAAATCAAGATTTAATTAGCGAATAAAATTTCATAGTTCAGGAGTAGATGTTAGAAGTATAGAGATGAAGTAGACTTTAGAAGGAACCGGAAACCATGCCCTTAACCTCTATTCTTGTTCAAAAAGCCAAGGAGAGGGGAGTATGAACCGCACTATAGGTGAACCTATTTAGTCATATAGGAAAGGAAAAAATAATAATAAATAGTGAATAAAATTTTGGAGGTCAGATGGAGTTGGAGTCATCTTCGGTAGGAACCGGAAGTAAACATATAAGATTAGACTTTAGTTTAGTTTTAGTTTTAGTATTAATAGATGGACTAAGAGGTTCTTTCCTTCTATTTACTTGCCCAATTTTGTTTCTCTTTTATATCGCATCCATTGCTGGGAATTCATCTTTCCTTCCTCTATTCCTTTATTCTTCTATTCCTTCCTTCATTCATTCATTCTTACCTTCTTCTATTCCTTTATTCTTCTATTCCTTCCTTCATTCATTCTTACCTTCCTCTATTCCTTTATTCTTCTATTCCTTCCTTCCTTCCTTCATTCATTCATTCTTACCTTCCTCTATTCCTTTATTCTTCTATTCCTTCCTTCCTTCATTCATTCATTCTTACCTTCCTCTATTCCTTTATTCTTCTATTCCTTCCTTCATTCATTCATTCTTCCCTTCCTCTATTCCTTTATTCTTCTATTCCTTCCTTCATTCATTCTTACTTTCCTTTATTCCCTTATTCTTCTATTCCTTCTATCCTTCATTCATTCATTCTTACCTTCCTCTATTCCTTTATTCTTCTTCCTTCCTTCCTTCCTTCCTTCATTCATTCATTCTTATTCCTTCCTTCTATTCCTTTATTCTTCTATTCCTTCCTTCCTTCATTCATTCATTCTTACCTTCTTTATTCCTTTATTCTTCTATTCCTTCCTTCATTCATTCATTCTTCCTTCCTCTATTCCTTTATTCTTCTATTCCTTCCTTCATTCATTCTTACTTTCCTTTATTCCTTTATTCTTCTATTTCCTTCTATCCTTCATTCATTCATTCTTACCTTCCTCTATTCCTTTATTCTTCTATTCCTTCATTCATTCATTCTTCCCTTCCTCTATTCCTTTATTCTTCTATTCCTTCCTTCATTCATTCATTCATTCTTACCTTCCTTTATTCCTTTATTCTTTTATTCCTTCATTCATTCTTACCTTCTATTCCTTTATTCTTCTATTCCTTCCTTCATTCTTTCAGATAGAATTAGATTAGATTGAAATTCTTTCTTTGTATTTGCTTGTCTAATTTTGTTTCTCTTTTCTTTTTATCGCATCCACTGCTGACGACAACTGTTCATTCTTCTGTATAATACTAAAACTCTAATCTTGTATGTCTGTATGTTTTTTTTTTTGTTTTTTTTTTTTGGCGGGGGGGTTGTGTTTGTACTAACGTTCACCCGATACAAGGCCCAGGGTTACTGTGTGGAGTTGTATTAGGGTAAGAAAGCGCAAGATAGCAGTAAAGACCGACGGTTAATTCTAGACTTGAATAGGTCAAGAATTAATTAGTTCAGCTGGAGACGTTTGAAGTATAGAATCGAAATAGACCTTAGAAGGGACCGGAAACGGAATCCTGTACAGGAAACAAAGGATAAACCTCGAATCCCGTTCAAAAAACTGGGGAAGACGACAGGCGAACCTAACTCTTCCTAATATTTTTTAGAGAAAAAAATTGTATCGCTTTTAATTTCAGTGCCGGTAACAGTTACACTACTGCACACCTTTCTTACACTGAATAATAAATAATTTGCTTAATTCGGAATCAAATCCAGGTGTTAAGAAGAAATGTTAGTATATGGGGTCAGCTGCCACACTGAGTTAATTCTATAAAATGCCGTCTCTGTGTAGCCTTGGTTCTTTATTGAAATAACATTTGGCCGTCAGCGTGAAAGGCGCCATGTGACTGAGGGATTGCCGGAAAAGGTGCGTCGAGAGGCGGTGAAGTTCTCTCAGGAATCAATTCCTGGTTAAGTTAGAAATAATTCCAAATCTTTATGAAATGAGTGGATCATGTTACCCATTTTTATTTGCTTATTTTTTTTTATTTCTTAATTTTTTAATTATTTTTTTTTTTTAAATTTATTTTATTATTTTTTTTTAATCCTAAATACGTTACCTTTGAGTTTGAAATAGATTAACCAGATTTTTTGATTTTTTTTAATGGGGGTGCTGGGTACCCTTCACTAGGTACCTTTTTATTTTTCGCCACGATCACGGTCGGGATCATCAAGGCAATGTGAACGACCTTTTCCTTAGCTGCATAGTATGTGCTTCGCCACGGTTACATACAGTTTCGAAATCAGTTTGCTAGACCAGTTGACACCCAACAGTATAGAACACAGTTTGTTGTTATTCCAATTACCCTGTGATAATAAAATCGGCACTTCGCATCCCCCCCTTGCTTATAACGATGCATTAATATAAAATAAAAACCTTTTCGGCACTAAAGCAGCACTATTCGAATAAAAAAATAAATTGAGAATTGTTATATATATTCCAGACCCCCTTATATTAAATATTCAGGAAATTTCTTCACGCCTTTTAATTTAGTTTGCGATCATTCGTCTTTTAACTGAAAATTATCTTTAGAAATTAAAAAAAAAATATTATTAGCATTTAGCAATCTGCATTATTTATCTTTTGAGCGCTGATCACCGCTTTACCAGTGGTAGAGAAAAATGACGTAATGCCCAACCACCGGTTGCACAATGGTTGAGAAAAATGACAATGCCCAGCTACCGGTTGAAAGGTGGTAGATAAAAATGACTTAATGCCCAACAACCGGTTGAACGGTGGTAGAGAAAAATTACTTAATGCCCAACAACCGGTTGAACGGTGGTAGAGAAAATGACGTAATGCACAGCAACCGGTTGAACGGTGGTAGAGAAAAATGACTTAATGCCCAGCAACCGGCTGAATGGTGGTAGAGAAAAATGTCTTAATGCCCAAGAACCGGTTGAACGGTGGTAGAGAAAAATGACTTAATGCCCAGCAACCGGTTGAACGGTGGTAGAGAAAAATGACTTAATGCCCAGCAACCGGCTGAACGGTGGTAGAGAAAAATGACTTAATGCCCAGCAACCGGTTGAACGGTGGTAGAGAAAAACGACTTAATGCCCAGCAACCGGTTGAACGGTGGTAGAAAAAATGACTTAATGCCCAGCCACTAGTTGAACGATGGGTAAACTCTTGTAACTAATTTTATATCTACCGTGAAACATTACATACCAAATATTTGTGAATTTTGACTCAGAAGCTCTGGTAGAATGGTTAAAATTGTTCAGGAATGCAGAGATCAAAGGGGTTAATATTACTTCCCTTTCCACTACATTCTTTTTCAAGGCTTCTTAAGTATCCTTATTGTTAAATTCACTCAAACTTGGTTTTTCTTGTCATAGCAGGATATGACAACACAACTATGAAACTCAAGCGCCCTGTTGTTCATCGATCAGGGCCACCTTCAATGGCAGAATAAACTTGTACTGCAAATGAAATCACGAAATGAGTAATAAAGTTAAAAGAAACTCCAGACACTCCTTTTATTTCAACCACCCCGTATATTTGAAATGCAATTCCAGTTTCCCTGCTGCTTCGTTCTGCTTTCATGTAGAATTTTGAACTCTGTTAAAACGTCATAGCCATCTTAACGCAGAAGTGAATTAGACGAAACTTTGCTGGTATTGCTCAGTACAAACGTCATGGACCACAGAAAACACAAGACTTTCTGTTGAGGGGTTCTCCCCTTTTTACACAAATGGACTCACCCAGGGTATACATATACTACTGCCAGTGAATACCCGGGAGAAGAACGAGAAAGAAGGACAAACGAGCAACGAACCAGAACGAACGTGACGAAGAAGAGTCACAGTGAGCAAGCACGTAGACTCAGTAAGAAGTCATACAGTGATAAGTCGATACCAAAGACTATATATATATATATATATATATATATATATATATATATATATATATATATACACGTTTCATTAAATAATATAGACAAGTGTTGTTTATTTATTTTATGTAAAATTTTTCGTATCTTCTGATAAGTTTGATAACATTATCATTAAACGAAGAAAGAAATTCCCAATATTTATCCATTATTTTTTTTAATATAATCTAAGCTTTCTTTACTCAAGCCATTATCAAAGATGTAATTACAAACATATCAAACAATATATGGACACGACAGTGATGATAGTCTGTCATTGTTTATTTTACATAGTGGATCACTAAGCAATGATGAAAACGCGCATATAAGACGCTAGAAGCGAAAATCGCACCGCATCTCATGACGTCACACATGACTACATGAGAGTGAATTGTAGAATGAAATAAGGAAAGCCGTTGGTATAAACCAATGGCTTCTGTTACCAATTATAGAAATTATAGACATTTAAGAATATTTGTAGACATTCCATAGTTGATTTTGTTTAGGTTGGGTTTTAACTGTTTGATGTATAATGCTTCAAGTATTTTTAGTTTTTGTCTATTGTTTTCATGTCGAAGTATAGTTGTGTTTTTTTTTGACAAGTATTTTACGGAATTGTGTGTGCGGGCAGGCATGTTGTTTTAAATGCCTAAAATGTTAGAGTTTTCATTAAAATGTAGTGTCAAGCGTCGTGAAAGCGTTTGTGGTGTGACCAACATAAATATTATTTAATTCGTTGGAGATACACTCTCCCAAAGGGCACTTGAATTTATAAACTATGTTGGTTTTTTTGCAAATCGCTAACCGGGGAGAAGAATCATTGCGAAGTATTAAGTTGGATATACTAGATTTAGTGTAGTATATGATTAATTTAATTTTTTTTGCTAGGATCTGTAGTTGATATATTAGAATTTACTAAATTTTTTTAGTATGTGTTCATCTTGTTTATAATTAGTATGCATTTGATTACGATATAGGAGATTAATATATTTGAGATCAGTAGAAGCAGTATTATGTACTATTTGCTTAGTATTGAGATTTCTAAGAAAGCATCTTATTTGTTCATCAACTATATAGTTTGAAAGCTATTATTAATAAGTGTCTGTTTTATATTCTTTAGTTCACTGTAAAAATCTGTTTAGTGGATGAATTAGTTTCTGCACGATGTATTAGATTCTTTTATAATTGCTATTTTGTAGTAATATGGGCATTCGCTCTTGTAGTTAAGTGTACATGAATTTATGCTTGTAGGTTTTTGTATGGCGAAATAGTAAATTTGTTATTATTTGTGTTTATCAATATGTCAAGGAAGGGATTTTATTATTAGTATTGAGTTCATATGTGAATTTAAGGACAGAATTATTTTGGAACCGTTTTTGAAGTTGAATTATTTCATCTGTATTTTTAACTAACATAAGAATATCATCAACGTATCTTATGTAGATTGATGGTTTTTTAAAATCTGTAAATAACTTATTTTCGAGGTTCGACATATAGAAATTGCTAAATGTCGGGCCCAATACTGAACCCATGGAGACACCATCACGTTGTATATATATATTGTTATTATGATCGAAGAAAGGGACTTCATATATATATATATATTGATACTGCTACTAACGCGCATTCCTAAAACTACTAACCTGCATTACCAGTTTGTATTATTACATTAATACATTTATTTTCCTATATTCCTTCTTGGCGTTTCTTATTTATTGGTACCGGATTTCATCCCGGAATCCACAACACTTTCCGACATTTATTTTTAGCCTATAGAGATGGTTCAGTTTTATATTATATAATATTTGTACAGGGCGTTCCGAAAATCTTTGCCACCCCTTACCAAAAATAATTATTCAATTTCATTGACGCTGTCACACATGGAGAAGGTCTGTACGAACACCATCGTGATGCGGCGCCATGTCCTGTGTGACATTTTACGAAGCTGTTCTTTTGTTGATTGTTGCAAAGCCTCTCCAAATGGTGTCCTTAAACTGATGGGTATTCTGGTATTGTTCATGTGAAACTCTCCTTTATGTAGCAGTGACATAAAATGAGCACCACCCTGTATATAGGGAATTAATACAAATGTAATTTTTCTCTTAGGTGATTGATGTTATATTTAGTATTTTAATGTATAACTCTGTCGGGATCATTTACCCAAAATGTATGCATATATATATATATATATATATATATATATATATATATATATATATATATATATAGTGTCTTAAAGTCCTGTCACTCCCTACCAAAAAAGTAATGAGA